AAATAATTCAATATACAACAACAACAACACACGTTTAGACGGCATTTTCCCCGAGATCGGGGGTTGCCGTTTGGCTACCTATGATGAAACCGAAATACCCCTCGACGCCATCCACATCTGTCACTCGCCTCAGTATCACGCAACCCCGCTTTCACCCTGTCCTTCTCCACCTGCTCTCTCCATCCCAATCGCGGACGACCCCTTCCTACCACTCCTTCAACCTCGAACTCCAACGCTCGCCTAATCCCGACCCTTTCATCCCTTCTCAACACATGTCCATACCACCGCAATCTCGATCTCCTTATCAATGTCACAATGTCCTCATTCAGTCCCATCATTGACATCAGCTCTGTACTACTCCTCCTATCCTTCACTTTAACCCCACACATCATCCTCACCATAGCTCTTTCAGCCCTCTGCAGTACACTTTCCTCCTCTCTCCTCAACACCCAAGTTTCACCACCATATACCATCGCTGCTCTCACACATGCTTTATATACCCTCCCTTTCATCTTCACTGACCATTTCTTTCCACACAATACCCCACCCAGTTCCCTAAATTTCATCCATCCCACACGAACTCTAGCCGTAACTGCGCTCAAACATCCTCCTTCCGCATTCAGCTTATCCCCTAAGTAAACAAAGCTTTCCACTCTTTCAATACCACCACTCAACCCCGTCCTTGCGTCCGTCCTATTAATCACACCATGAACACATTTCTTACATTTGAACGTGTCTTCCACCTTTTTCAGTGTCCCCCTCACACCACTACATCTCTTATGCACCCATTTCTGACATCCTATACACAATACCGAGTTAGCCTTCACTCTCCTATCACATACCCCACAGGGGTCTATTTTACTTATCACTCGCTCCCCACCTTCCCCACTCACCATTACCTTCGTCTTACCAATATTAACTTTTAACCCTTTCTTTTCAATAACACTTTTCCATCTGTCAAATTTTAACTGCAATTCTTCCATGCTATCAGCCATCAAGACTAAATCATCTGCATACAAAATCTCAAATAACAACCCCTCCATTATGTTTCCACACACAACATCCATCACAATTGCAAACAGAAACGGTGATAACACTGATCCTTGATGCACTCCTACCTTAACACTAAAAGCGTCCGACATCCTCCTTCCAACCCTCACTTTTGTCTTTGCCCCTTCATACAGCTGCATCACAGCTTTAACAAGTCTCTCATTCACTCCTTTCTTCCTCAACGCCCATTCAATGACCTTCCTCGGTACTCGATCAAAAGCCTTTTCTAGATCCACAAAACACATGTACAATCTTCGTTTCTTCTTTCTATAATTCTCCTGCAACATTCTCACCATGAACAACGCATCCACCGTTCCCCTACCAGGCATAAACCCACACTGCATTTCATTAACTGTCACCATACTTCTCAACCTCCTCTCAAGCACCCTCTCCACTACCTTCATTCCGTGCTCTAGTAATTTCACACCCCTGTATGACCCACAATCTCTCACATCTCCTTTGCCCTTTGTAACAGGTTCTTTACGGCTTCTATCAAAAGACTTGAAATTTGATGTGTAGAAACAGAAAATAAGTTTTCTTGATATTCAAATAAATCGAGATAGAATACAAATTAACAAAATATTGTTCAATTATTAAGTTAATGTATGTATTGTCGTTTGGGGTGACAAACGTGCTTTATTACTACGGTATAGACTGTCACGTTGTTGTGCGAGTGTTGTTGTTGGAATAACTGACGCCACGATGTTGCTGGATAAGAGTTGTTGTAGCTGAGGTGGTCGTTACTCTGACACTGCTGGGTTGGAGTTGTTGTTGAATTAACTGAAACTACGACACTATTGTGTTGGAGCTGTTGTTGAAATAACTGGTTGTTGCAGCGACTGTAGTTGTGGTGGTTGTTATCACTACACTGTTGTGTTGGAGTTGTTGTTGAAATAACTGAAACCACGACACTGTTGTGTTGGAGATGTTGTTGAAATAACTGGTTGTTGCAGCTGCTGTAGTTGTGGTGGTTGTTATCACGACGCTGTTGTGTTGGAGTTGTTGACTCCGCTATTACTACCTGCTACCAATTACCACTTTATTCCTATTAACGACGTTCCAGTTAGACTTGTGACTGCCAACGTCCTACCGCCAAACCTACTACCAAACGTTTTTTACTCCAAATTAAACCAATAATTACTAAAATGCAAAGTTCTACCGTCTACTATCAACCAAGAGTTAAACTACGGCGTTCTCACCCAATAATTCTCCTATTATCGCTTTATATATTTTTTGTCTTTCCGCAATGCGGCAACCCCGTTAAGATAAAATCATGAGGCGCCGCATGCTAAACCTCAACCTGTGCCACCCTTATACAACGGCACCAACACACTGTGTCGCCAATCCTCAGGTATACCTTCATCATCAAACATACTGTTAGCAATTCTCATCATAACTTCAATTCCTATCACCCCACTCGCTTTAATATGTTCTGCCGCCACTTCCGAAACCCCTGTCGCCTTACCTAGTTTCATTTCTCTAACTGCTTTCTCTACTTCCTCCATCGTCACCTTCTCTATAGGTCCGTGTGTGACCGCGGATTCCACATCTCCATCCCACTCATTCTCTTCATTCATCAACCTTTCCATATGAGCTTTCCACACCTGAGCTTTTTCCTCCTCATCTATGCACAACTTGCCAGATCCATCCCAAACACATCCATTCCCTATAACATCTTTCCTATCCCTCATTGACTGCTTTGCTACTTTGAACATTTTCCTCGAACTCACATCAAATTCCATTTCCTTCATTAACCTATCTGATGCTTTCGTCATTGCAGTTGCCACTGCCTGTTTTGCAACCTTCTTAGCCTTCCTATACTCAGACTCCGCTTCCTCCGTCATGTCCCTTCTCCATACCCTAAACCTCTCCTTTTTGACTTCCAAAACCCTTCTTATATCTTCATCCCACCACCACGTCTTACCATGCCTACACTTTCCTTTCGTCCATCCACATACTTTATCTGCCGTAGCCAACACACAGTCCCTGTATCTCTCCCAAACATCTCCATCCTTACCACTCTCCCAATTTTCAGCCACCTTCACTTCAAATGCCTTCCTCACCTCTGCATCCTGCAACTTCCATGTCTTTCTCTTTGCCACAAACTTATCCTTCTTCCTCCTCCCCATTTCTTTTGATGTCACATCCATCACAACCATACTATGCTGCAACATACCAGGTATCGCCTTCACATTCTTCACATACTTCCTATGTTTGGCCCTTACCAATATATAGTCTATCATCGATCTATGTTCCCCTGACCTATAAGTAATCAATCGTGCTGGTTCCCTTGTGAACCAAGTATTCCCCACCACCATGCTATGTGCATCCGCTAACTCCAACACTCTACGCCCTTCCTCATTCCGTATACCATATCCCCATCCCCCATGTACACCTTCATATCCGTCTGCATCCGCCCCCACATGACCATTCAAATCACCCAACAACACCACAAACTCATTCAACCCCGCTTGCCCAATCTCGTCAGAAACATCATCATAAAACCTATCCTTCTCCACTTCCTTCCTACTTTGTTGCGGAGCATATCCTGATATCACCCTCACTATTACTTTTCCAAACACCATCACCACCACAATTACCCCATTGCTTCTCCGCCTCACTTCCAACACCTTCTCCACCAACTCTTCTCTTACCATCACACCAACTCCTCTCGTACCATCATCCCCCTTCCACCACAACTTATATCTTCCACCTTTAGCCCCCACAAACCTTGTACCCTCACCCTTCCATCTGATCTCCTGTAATGCAGCCACGTCAACCATTCTCCTCTGCAGCTCCTCCACCACTTCCAAACTTCTTCCTGTCAACGTGCCTACATTCCAGGTACCAAACCTCCAACCCCTTGGTCTACAAGTAGTCCTTCCATCTATAGTGCCTTGCACCGCCACACTATAGAGTGGGGTGCCAGTAGCCAGACCATCCACAGGGCCTTGCACCACAACCCCATGGACTGGGTCTCCGGAGAGGTAGCCTTTGATGATCCAACATCACTCACAAGGCAGTGAGGGTCAGTTTAATGTCATAACCAGGACAATAAATAATTCAATATAAATATACAGATATCCATCCTCCAATAAAATCATCAGTAGGTAAATATACCTACTAATTACCCTACCTAACAAAACGGTAAGTAGAGGAAGAAACGCTGTAGAAATAATTAAATATATATTTTAACTAATCAAACCCACTTACACACAGGTTCTTATTAGTGATAATTATATGCATGCAGATAAGGAGTTTTTTCTTTGGTATAACTCGTCATCAGTGCAATTTACAGGAACGCTAATAAAATTGTTTAGGCTGTACTGTTGTTCATTACAAGGCTGTCAAGATTTTCTACACACGACAAAAATCATTATTTTTTAAATGTTATCAGGATGTCCTGGCTATGAATGTCCTGGTTATGACATTAAACTGACCCTCACTGCCTTGTGAGTGATGTTGGATCATCAAAGGCTAGGCCCACCGCTTATAACTGTGGCTGCGTAAGGAAGGGCGTCCTGCGTAAAAATTAGCCAAATAAGTTACTTATGATGACAGAAGTGACAATGGCCCTCAGTATCCCGCAGAAGAGGGTGCGCGAGGGGTATTTTGGTTTCATCATAGGTAGCCAAACGGCAACCCCCGATCTCGGGGAAAATGTCGTCTAAACGTGTGTTGTTGTTGTTGTTATCAGGCTGTTGTTGTCATCGTCGTTGTTGTTTGTTAACATGTTTCATTGGTATTGTTGTTGTTGGTTTCTTTCGTCATAACTCGTTCAGTTGGTGGCGGCGCCTCAGTCGCTTGCCATGGTGCTTTATAAATGACACTATTATTGTTATTATTATTATTATTGTTATCGTTATTGTTGTTATTTTTTCATATTATCAATGATAATAAGCGTTAAAGGACCGTACCTTCCAATGCTTTTATTCATAATTATTTAGGCTCTTAGATATTTTCTTATCTTCACCTTATCTTCCACTTTATTTGAAGTTTCAAGAAATATAATAATACGAAAAATCACTAAAACTGCTTTATACATCTCCAGTAAGACCGCACCTGGAGTATGCGGATACAGTCTGGAATCCATATCTAACAGGAGACATAAAAAAGTTAGAGCAAGTTCAGAAAAGAGCAACCAGAGTGTGTAAACTAAAAAAACTTACCATACCATGACAGATTAATTATGATTGGTTTAACAACGTTAGAAAAAAGAAGAATCAGAGGTCATTTAATTCAGATGTTCAAATTTGTAAGTGGCACAGATGTAATAAACTGGCATAATGAACCGATATTCATGTTTGACCCAAGAAAAAGAGTACGTAATAAAAGATTACGAATGGAAAAAGTTAAAAAATAAAACTGCCGAAAAAGGTTTTTTACAAATCGTATAGTCAACAATTGGAATTACTACTGTAACCTGACCCAATGCACACACGTGCATCACAGCATATTGATGTTATTAATTGTTTATAATCATGGAAAATAAATATATCGTTATATATTAAGATGTACGTTGTTTTGGGCAATTATAAATTAGCATAATGTTAATAATGATGAATATGTAACATGAAGTAATGAATATGTAACATGCTGTAATGGATATGTAACATGATGTAATGAATATGTAACATGATGTAATGAATATGTAACATGATGTAATGAATATTTAACGTGATGTAATGAATATGTAACATACTGTAACATGCTGTAATGGATATGTAACATGATGTAATGAATATGTAACATGATGTAATGATTGATGATCCAGGGGCACACCTCCCACTACCGAACCGTGTCTGCAGTGGCTGCTGTTGATACGACTGTCCTCAGGTCAGTTCATCATCATCATCACTGTCGTCGTCATCATCTTCATCATCATCATTGTCGTCGTCACCATTATAATCATCTACACCATCATCATCATTATTGTTTTTTCAGATTACCAGCTCAGGCTTTCAAGGTGGTACTCGAGCAATATCCAGAGTCTTTGGTGCGGGTGATCCAGATCATCATGATCCGACTGCAGCGAGTCACCTTCATGGCACTGCACAACTACCTGGGACTCAGTCAGGAACTCATCAACCACGTGCGTCTCCTGCTTTCCTGCTCTGCCTCATTGTTGCCTTGTTGCAGTGTCACATCGTTGCATTGTTCTATTGCATTGACGTATTACATGTTGCATTGTTGTTCTATTGCATTGTTATATGGTTGCATTGTTCACTTGTTGTGTTATGTTACATATATCATTCATGTCTGCTGCATTGTTACATTGTTATTTTGCTCCATTGATGACGAGGGTGCTTGTGTTTGTTATTTTCATTTATATTTTATATGTCATACATTTTGTCGTTTAAGTTTGTTATTGCCATTATTCATTCTTTTGTTGACGTATGAGTTTATGTCCATCTGCAGTTGATGCATCTTCTAGTCAAATTATCCATGCTAACCCAACCAACCAACAAACCAATCAACCAACCAACCAAAAAACTAACCAATTAATCAACCATCCATTCAAATAACTAAGCTACCATTCAACCCACCATCCAAACAAAAACCTCACTGATCAACTGGTCAACCAATCAGCCAACCAATAACTGAACAACATATTCAGGAGTCACAGACGGACAGGGAATTCCTTATTCATTCCAGTTTTTCTGGCATCTCAAAGGCCAGTCCTGTTCATAACAAATGCAAATCAGCTAACATCAAATCGGACAGTTTTGCGACGTCCATCTTTGATCACCCGTCAGCACTCTCCACAGTTGCTTCGTCTACTGCAGACACAAATCCGCTTGCCTCTGCGACATCAACAACAGCAGTAGCAACATCTGAAGCCAAGTCTTCTGCGACCTTTCCGAGCAAGATATCCTCAATCAATGGAGGTATGAATGGGTGGATGTGTTTATTTGCAAGTGCAAGTGCACGTATGTTTGCATCTGTGCATGTGTACGCTTCTACTCAGTTCGGATAATTATTTAATTAATTGTAGATATTTAATTGCGTAGAATCAGGCAGCCAGTTGGAAGCTTCAGACTTTGTAGCTGCGTGCAGCAGAGCCAGAGTACATCCATCCGATCTCATCGACACTAATAAGAACAACTGCGTAAGATTGTCACGATCATTATTGTTCTTTTTATTTTTTTTAATTCTCAATGTTCAATATTTAGTTTCAATTTTTAATATTATGATATCACCTCAAAACTGAAATTAGTAAAAAATTAAAACATTTTGTTGTTGTAAAGTTCAATTCTTGTGTCATTGAAGGCAGATGAACATTTTAAAATCTCTTATGAACCTTATCATGAGGCTTAACGTTAATTATTTAGAAGGCATTTCTGAAACGGACCAAAGAATTTAATAAGAGAGCAAGATCTCATTCCCCAGTTCTATCTCCTCTGTCTCCCACAAAATCCATGCAGAACCAAGGTTGGTCCATGATAAGTTGAGGAATTGGTTAATTACATGGTTGGCTGGTTGAGTGTTTATCTGGTTGGCTGGTTGATTGATTAGTCAGGGTTTTTTTAAAAAAATTGATTAATTATTGGAATATGATTAATTGACCAATTGAGAAATTTGTTAGTAATCCTTTCTTTTGTTTGTTTTTAATGAAATATCTCAAAAATTATCCAGAGATAAGTTTCTTAAATTTGCTTTTTGACATTTTCAGATAATGTAAAAAAGTTGAATGATTTACTGAAATCTGGTCAACAAGCATCCAATGATCAACAGCAACCAATCCAACAACAACAACCACTAGTCCAACAACAACTACCAGTCCAACAACAACAACAACATCAACAACTTATTCAACAACAACATCTCAAGCAAAATGTTCATGTGCAACAATCTCCAGAGCATAAACAACACAAGCATAAGAAAAATTTACACTTACAAATGCATCCTTCTGCTTTGCAACAACAACATCTGCAACAACATCTGCCACAAAACCAACATCAACATGTAAAACCATTCGTTGCCCAACCTTTCTACAACAACAACCAAACATTCAATCAGATGCCTCTTGACAACAACAATATATTTCCTCAGAATTATCACCACCATCACCACGTGCATTCTTCTCATCATTATCAGCACCCACTTGCCAATTATCACAACTCGTCATTGGATGGCTTATCGTCCAATCAGATTTTAGATATTGCCATGCAAGACTTGGCAAAACTTCTTGGATTAACAGTTAGTTGGTCACTTGTTTTGTATGTGTTGTGTGTGGTGTTGATGTGTTGTGTGTGTGTAATGTTGGTGTGTTGTGTGTAAAGCTGATGTGTTGTGTGTGATGTTGATGCGTTGCGTGTGATCTTGATAATTTTGCTTGTTAAGGACCCAACAATTTTGAAGGATAAGTGCTTGTTGAGACATGTTCGTGCCAACACGATGCTCGTCAAACAGGGCGATCAAGTTGGTGCTTGCTGGCTACTGTGGCATTATTATCATTATTATCATTATTGTTCTTTTTCTTGTTATTATATTATTATTGTTATTGTGGCTTTTTTATTACTTCAAACATCGGTTCTCATATGTTCACCTGTATCAACCTACCTACCTCCTATCTATCTAGTATCTACCCACCCACCTCCTATCTATCTAGTATCTACCCACCCACCTACCTCCTATCTACCTACCTACCTACCCACCTCCTATCTATCTAACCACCCACCTACCTACCTCCTATCTATCTACCCACCCACCCACCCACCTACACACCTATATCTATTCAACATTCTGCATTCAACATTTCAATATTAGTTGGCTACGCGTTTGATTTCGGTTTATTGGTTCAAATCTTTATTTGCACTTGTATATGTAATAATTAATTTTAAAAAGTTTTTTTCTTGAACATTCAATGATATGGGTCTAAACGTTGATCTTTTATTTGTTGATTTTTGTTTATGTTTGTTTGTTTGTGTCATTTCAATTTTGCCTTTCCTCTTTTAATAATAGTAATAATAATAATAAAAGTAATAATAGTAGTAATAATAATACTAATAATTATAGTAATAATTATAATAATAATCTATTATACTTCTTGTATACATTGTGGCATCTATTCACCATTCACACATACGTCATTCATTTGATTCAACGTTAACATTTTCATTCTAAATTTTTTCTTTCACTGTTTGCTATGTGTCTAACTATTTCAAAGTTATTTTTATCATCCACTTACACATCCTTCAATTCCTCCAACGTTCATCCATCGCTCATTTTTCCATCTATCCATCATTCGTCCATTTATCATCTATTCATCCGTCATACTTTCTCACTCACTCACTCACTCACTCACTCACTTACTCACTCACTTGCTAATGAAGGAATGCAGTATCTACTTCATGGTCAGTGGCTTGGTTCAAGTTCTCCAGCAAATTGTTGGCAAGGAGTCTGAAAACGTACGTCTCAATTTATTTCATACATCCTTGTTACAACATTTTCAAATGTATGTATCTTTGTTCGTGTTTGTGTGTGTGTTTGTGTGTGTGTGTGTGTGTGTGTGTGTGTGTGTGTGTGTGTGTGTGTGTGTGTGGATGAGTGAGTTAGTGGTATGTGGTGGTATGTGGTGTGTACATTTTTTTAAGTTTGGACATCATTATCGTTAGTGGTGGCACTATATATTGTTTTCATCGTCACTGTAATCTTATTAATCTTTTGAGTTTCAACATGGCATCCCTTCAAACACCCAACTTCTCAGTATTCATTCCTTTTCATATTTATTCGGATTTGATGGTCCGATGTTGGTGATGATGATATGAATATGATGACTGCTGTGGATTAATGTTGGTTAACGATAATCAGCTGATGGTAACTACGGTGGTTATTAATGTGATACTTAGACGTGATAGAAGAAGGAGGATGTACATTTCTTATAAAGAACATTTTTGTCAATGTTGTCAATCAACTAACTCAACTAATGCAGTCAATCTTTCAGTTCTTCCAATTCATTTATAATTATTTATTATTCATGGCATGAAACCTATTTCACATATGGTGAAGCATATTCCACATGCGTTGAAACATATTCCACATGTGTTGAAACATTGATTGTCATGGCCAGAGAACGATGTACATAGTGGAGCCTGGTGAGTTGGTCGGAGCACTGGCGGTTTTGACTGGGGAGCCTTCATTCTTCTCCATGAAAGCCATCTCTGATGTCATCTTTGTTCACATTGCCAAGCAGGACTTCTATCTGTTAGTTGTTGTTGTTGTTGATGTTGCTGTTGCTGCTGTTGTTGCTGCTTTTGTTGTTGTTGTTGGTGGTGATGGTGGTGGTGGTGCTATTATGTCAGAGGGTGGATGGATTGTTAATAAGTGATGGTAGATGGTTGGTTGTTTGTTGGTTGATGTTGGCAGATGGTCGGTGCATTTAGAGTGTCCAGTGAAACGCTTGCTAGATTAACATTTCATTCATAGTTTATATTCATGTATTGGTAGCAATGTTATCTTTTTGTAATATTTTCAGACTTACTCAGATTTTCTGTAAAAATATTTTTAATTGAATCATTATTTATTCAGTCTTTCAAATAATTTAGTTGCGTTTATAATAATTGGTTTCCAAATGTTTCCAAATTGGACTAATATATGCAGTTATAACTGTTGAACCAGGTTGATGAAGATCCAACCAAGCATAGTTCTGAATGCTGGCAGGACAGTCATCAAGAGAATGTCACATTTTGTTCGACAGATTGATTTTGCTCTCGACTGGGTGCTTATTGAGGCTGGCAGGGCTCTCTACAGGTAGATTTATTTATTGGTTGTCGTAAGTTTGTTGGTGTTTGTGAGTTGTCGGTTGGTTGGTTTGTTGTTCAGTGGTTGTTTCACTGAATGGTATTTTATCCTTTTTTACTCATCCCAGTCCCTTCCAAATATCAGTTAGTTAGACAGCTACATAACGGCTGCATCAATTTTATAATATCTGTCTATTGGTTAAGTTCTCTTGCTGACTGTAGTTTTTAAACTTAAATTGATCTCACATCTCAAAGTAGAATTGTTGTAGTACATTCAAGGACAAAATAATTTTCACAATGATAATTGCTGCTGTACAGCTTGTTTAATTACGATAAATTTTTACTTATAAATTTTTACTGCTGTTATGTGTAGAGTTAATTGGACGCATGCAGAGTGCATTCAACCTCAATGCCAATCTAAATTGTTTGAAATTTATTCTAAATCTATTTGAAATTGTTTACATTCAATGCAAGCAGTGGATAGCTGCCAACATTGCATGATGAATTTCTACCCGTAATATTTTCAACAGTTGACAGAAATAATCTGTCTGTCTTCCTATGTACTCTCATTGGCAACTTTCACTGGCAGCATTGTTATTAAAAACAGTTTGGTTTAGCATTTTTATGAATTAACGAAAAATCTGTAAAGTAGATTGGATAGAAAATGAAATACCCAACGCAACAGTTTAAGATGGAATTAAACATTAGACATATTTTCTAAACAATCACAAAACTGTTTTGTGACTGAGACTTTTTTCAATAATATAAATAATAATTGCAGTTTTAATAATGGTAATAAAAGTTTGTGAAAATTTGTTGAAAAGAGTAACTTCGATGAATTAATTATTTTCAATAAGCGCAAGTCATCTGTATAGATTAATCGTCATAATCACATCTAACGAGATGCTTTCTATTCTATCATCATCATCATCAACTTACTGCTAGATGGCCTATTTATAGTTTATTAGGTTTTAACTGGTTTAAAAATGGGTCCAAAATGATTGTAGCAATTAGTTGAATGAAGGTTTTGAGTTTGGCCGCCATTGGTTTGGAATTAATATTTTAATTTAATTTTAACATTTAATTTCAAATTATTTAAAAATAGCCGATATTCACATATACAGCAACAAACGTTAAGCTATTGTTAAAATGGCCATTCCTGGCTCCGTACGCTTTTGTATTAGAAGATGTATGTACTGTGTGTTGTTGCGACTTAAAATAAAATATTAATACTACTACTTTAATTTAATATTAATTATGTCGACGATAAATCTAATTTAATCACAAGAAATTTAAGGTGATAATGATGGTAATAATAATGGTATTAATAATGGTTGTAATAACAATATAAAAATAATAATGGATACTGTATCATCATATTTGGCATCCACGAGAGACGCCGGACGAGGTGGCAGGACCCGACTTTTCCCTCATTAACAGGCAGCCGACCTCTGCTACAATGCTCAGCCCTGGAACATCACTTTACAGCAACATTACAGCAGCAATTGCGAAAGAAGCACATAAATTCGTAAATTCTGTTACCGTCACGATCTCTGTTTCCGTTGTCGCAATTTTATAACGCGCCCTCGATAAACCACCCACTCACCCGCCCACCTACCCACCCACTCAGGCAGGGAGAGAAGTCGGACTGCGTGTACATCATCCTGAATGGTCGCATTCGATCGGTCATCCAGTTGGCTTCCGGCAAGAAGGAACTGGTGGGTGAGTACGGCAGGGGTGAGTTGGTCGGCCTGGTTGAGGTGCTCACACAGACCGACAGATCTACCACCCTCATGGCTGTCAGGTGAGTTTCACTAACATAACAAAAAAAACTCTAAAAAAAATTCAACCCAATGCTTATAATGTATAGTGGTAGTTCGTACACGAATTTGTTTTGTTTGTAAAATATTCAAATCTGCTTTCTCATGAATTTTGTTGGTTTTATTGATTTTTACTGTTATTTGTTTTGAGTCATCTTTTTAGTGAAGTGTTTGCTAATTTTTTAAAGCATCAAAGTGAAGTTCCAAAAATGTGGTAAAATGTTTGATGCACACCGCATAGCATAACATAAATGGAAGAAATAAAGGGCGCGAACTTCCTTTGCCCTCCAGCCGTGAGGAAGGTCTCACGCAAAATACTGGTGGGTATTGTGAGGCGAGCCAACCTTCGACCTACTTTCATACAGCACAGCAGAGTCTCAAATTTTTTCTTTCCACCGCAACTACCAACTTGTATAATTGGTTCGCCTGGATCAACTTTTTAAATTTTCTTAAGCCCTCTGACAATAATAGTTCTGACAGTTATTATCATATTTAAATTATTGTTTTTATTATTTCTGTTTCTATTGTTATTATTTTTGTTATTATGTTTTTTGCTCTTTAATTCATTTGATGGATGGATGGATGGATGGATGGATGGATGGATGGATGGATGGGTGAATGGATGGATGGATGGATGGATGGGTATGCTTAATCTGAACAATTTGAATCCATCTTTTACGATCTTTTGCGAAATTGCGTCCATTAAGACGTTTGGAGATCATACTGTTGGTTGTTGTCAATAGCCTGGTTGGACGTCGCATGATGCTGCTGATGTCGATATTTTGCACTAACCCGACAGCAAGTTATTATTTATTCATTTATTATTTCTTTATCTACAGAGACACAGAACTAGCTCAGATCCCTGATGAAATGTTGAACCTCATCAAAAAAAAGCACCCACAAGTCGTTACCAGATTGATCCACCTACTTGGACAGCGAATACTTGGGTCGCTTGGAAACCAAACTGGAGTATATTCTACACTTATGGGTCAGTTCATTTATTCATAACAATGATGATGGCAGTGATACATTTTTTAATTATTTTTTTCTTTCAATTCAATTTTTTCACTTCTAGAGCTTACTCTAGTTTATAAAACTTTTTTCAAATCAATTTTTTTTCCTGCTAATTGCTTTTTTTATTAAACGTGAAAATGTGTTCCAATTGAAAACATGACTGCCCCAGAGCAAGTAGACATAGACACGAAGTGCACAGCCGGAAACCTAGCAACGGTTGCCGTAGTCGCAGTGAATGAAAAAGTTCCCATTCAGTGCTTCACGTTGGAGTTGCAGAATTCTTTGAATGCAATCGGTCAGTTAGTACACAAATTTAAGCTCTTGATTCAATATTTAATAAAAAATAATCTGAAATTGTAGGTCCCACGTTGAGGCTGAACAGTGAAATTGTGCAGAACAAGCTGGGCAAAACGGCTTTTGATGCGTTAGGATTTTTTCATTGAATGTTGATAAATAATAATGTAATAACTGTTGAATTCATTCATGTTAAGATGTATATAACTTTGTGAATAATTATCTTCGTTATATAGTTTTGCAATGGGGAAATAACACAGTAATAGGCTTCAATTCATCAACACATGCTATTTCATTTACACATCATTTGACAAACCTTTTTTAATTAATTATTTTTTATTTTGCTCAACTTTTAATAATTCTTTCATTAATCATTTTATGTATTTTCTTTTTGGTGGTTCGGATCACTGGCTCATTTTATATTTTTTTGCCAATAAAAACTCTTGTAGAAAATTGTACTGCTATAGTTCTTAGTGCATGCACTCGCACATACAAAACAAACACACACACACACAATGCAAACAAACACACACACAATGCAAACAAACACACACACACACACAATGCAAACAAACAAACAAACACACACACAATGCAAACAAACAAACACACACACAATGCAAACAAACACACACACACAATGCAAACAAGCACACAAACAAACACACACACACAATGCAAACAAACAAACACACACACACAATGCATTCCCACAAACAGGATAAATGAGTATCGACTGTCCAGTTGGCTGGGACAACAGGAGGACTTTCACAGGATGGTGCTGTACGAATGCGACTTCTACATGTCGCCATGGACACAAAGATGCGTCAGGCAGTCTGACTGCATTCTCATCGTTGCTGTGGCAGAACATGATTCATCGGTTGCCAAGGTTGCTGCTGTTTTGAATAACCTAATAAAAAGAATTATTTTCTTTCCAGGGTTTCAATAATGCTATCGCGTTTTCATTTAATCATATTTTCAACATATCTTACTTCCAACTACTTGACCGTATTTTCGTCATCATCTTTCTTTACTGTGATAATAATAGCAGCTGGGTCGTTCGTCATTCTTTTTAAAATACTAAATTAGTGCAATTTCTAATTTATTATCATATTTGATATGCTACAAACTCCAAAATATTTTAAAGTATTGGTAATATATTAATTTTAATACTGTAGTAATGTACGTATGCGCGCACACGCACGCACACACTCACGCACACTTATATACGTATATATACAGTATTGTATGAATTCTATAGAATTGTTGGCATTAATCAATTTAAAGTTTGTCTTTTCTATTTTTCTTACTAGAATTTTCTGGAAATTGTTAAATTTGTTGAAAATAGAATTATCCAAGTTCATGATGAAAATTTAATAAAACTGTTGTTATCCAAATTTCAACATGCAGATATATCTTATTTCGATTTTTTACAAATCATCTTCAGTGCAGGTTTGGTTTATATAGTTTCTTTAAACAAAGAAAAGTTATTAGTTGGTGTCGTATTCTTTATTTTTGTTGTTGTCATTTCTTTGTTCTTCATTGTTATTGAAGTTACTATTCAGGCGTCGAGTTGGTAATGATGTTGTCATTCTTTGTTGGATGTTTATTTGGCTATGACTATTGATGCAACTACACGCATCTTAAAATTGCAGAAGCAGTTATAATTGACATCAATAAACCAAAAATAAATATACAACAAAAAATGACAACCTCACTCCCAACCCGGCTCTTAATCAACAATGAAAACAAAAAAGTAATAAAAACTAGCATTGTAAATAGTGACAAAGAAGAATATGATGCTATCGATGAAGAAAAGGAAACCAACGAAGATAGACCAGCCAATAAAGAAACCTGTCACCTAATTTCCATCTAAGTTCACTTTGACAAAGTGAATATTTCCCTATATAAACTAAATCGCACTGATGATGATTCATACGGAATCGAAATATGGCCTTATTTGCGGCATGAATTCGGAAAATAAGTTTATTTTGAATTTTAATAAACTAAACGTTCACCAAAAAACTTTAGTGAGAAAAATCGAAAAAACGAACTACAAACATATTAACGCCAAACATTCGGTAGAATTTATAGAATATTGTTAAAATTATGGTCTATTACCAGCATATATAATATATATATGTATATATAATATATTTGCTAGTTTGAAAAGCAATTGGAAATGATGTCGGTAAGAGCTCAGAAGAAACTCATCCTCCTGCACAAGATGGACACGCCATGTCCGAAGAACACACTGGACTGGTTGAATGTTAGGAGCTGGTGTTCTGGTCATTACCACATCAGATGTCCAAAGAGAGTCTTCAGTCGCAAATCCACCATCAAAATGGTTAGAGGTTTTAGGCTATATGTGTGCTTGTGTACGTTTTGATGAGTCATAACAATCTTGAAGACAGACACGAGTCGCAGATCTAGAACATCACTAATTATAATTTTAATAGTAGTTCATTTTAAGCATAGAAATATATCATTTTAATCAAGACAATAATTTTAGTCTAATAGTCTGTATATAACATTTTTCGCATTTTTTACATTGTTCACGTAATTTTTCAGCTAAATGAATCTTATTCAAAAACAGTAATGCAGAAGTTAATAGCGTTAATGAATAAGACGACAGCAAAATAATTCGTAATGCAACATTGACATTGCACATTAATCAAACTCAACACTCAGATGGAAACTTATAGGGACCTATCAAGTCAGACCCCTGATAGACTGACAGACTTCAGTCGACTGGCTAGACTTTTAACAGGGACGAGCATCGGGGTTGTGCTTGGAGGCGGTGGAGCCAGGTTCACTTTTTTATTTGTTTGTTTCCTTTATATTTTGACAAGCTGATTTCTCATAAACATTTTAACAAAAAACAAAGTTGTTGTTTTTATAAATTGTTTTTGTCACTACTTAGTTGACAAAATTATACAAGGCAACAAATTTTTCGAGCAAAAATTTGCTTCGTCGTTGTTATTGTTTATTATTATTATTATTATTATTATTCCATATTTTGAACAGTTGTTGCACTGACTTTGATGCATATTAGGCCTGTGTACACACAAAATAGTTCAGTGAAAAATATTTGTCACTAAAACTGCTTTGTAAAACATCGTTCAATAAAGTGCTTTTAGAACTGAATCGTAAATTCCGATATCATAATGATTAATGTTGTCGAATTTTTAACAATTCGATGTTATTATTGTTTTCATGCATATATATATATATATATATATATATATTGTATTGTGTGTGTGTGTATTATTGAGAATATCACACCATGTTCTGCGCTGGTTAACTTCCTGTTTAATTTTTCGATTTTTTTAACCGTAGGTCGTAAATCGTTTTCAAGTTTAAACCCGTAGAACAAAAAGCTTTTTTAGATATTTCTATACCATCTTCGGTGTTCGAATTGATACGTTGTGTATGTTGCCGGATGCTTAAGTATATATACACTGTGTCTTTACAATGTTAATTCTTTGTTTAATGTGAATCATTAACGGTCATTTAATTAGTTATTACGATGTTCAACTTTGTGCAATAGGACACTTTTACGTATCATCATTAATAGAATAAGTAAATAGTGACAAAGAAGAATATGATGCTATCGATGAAGAAAAGGAGACCAAAGAGGATGACCAGCCAATAAAGAAACCTGACACCTAATTTCCATCTAAGTTCATTTTGACAAAGTCAATATTTCCCTATATAAACATCAAAAAGCACTGATGATGATCCATTCGGAATCGAAATATGGCCTTATTTGCAGCATGAATTCGGAAAATAAGTTTAATTTGAATTTTAATAAACTAAACGTTCACCAAAAAATTTTAGTGAGAAAAATTGAAAAAACGAACTACAAACATATTAACGCCAAACATTCGGTAAAATTTATAGGATATTGTAAAAATATATATATATATATATGGGTCATTCTCTGTCAACTTGAACCATGGTCCACGCCCGACCATCTCCGATTTTTTTAAAATTTGAACAGTAAGTACCTCAATGTATTTCATCGACAAAATAAAATTTTTATAAAAAAATTTCAATTATTTTTCAAGTTATGAAGATTTTTGTGACAGCATCCTCAAATTTTTGAGCGATTTTTTTCAAAACTTGTACCTACGTAGAACGCTATATCTCTTGAACTAGCCAACATATCTTGATGAAATTTTTTGTGCATATCAGTGAAACAATGTAATAACAAAAAAAATAAATGTTATTGTCTCGAATCAAAGGATATTTTGAACAAAAAATCTAGAAAAAAATGAATTTTTTGAAAATTTCACCGATTTCAAAACAGCGTAGCTCAAAATCTATCGCAAAATAAATA